ATTCCACTGGTCTGGGTTGGAGCATTTATTTTTTTAAACCATCTCAGGTGATTCTAATGGACAGCCAGGGCTGATAACTTCTGAGATATTAGAAAACTTAAAACAAATTGGTAGTTCTCTACTTTTCCAACTGAAATAACACACCCAGTTCTGCCACATTTTATTGAATTCATCTGATGTCAAAAAACTGAAGGCCATATCTTCTCTGGCATACAATGTTAAAATCTTTAAATATTTTTAAGGGACTGTGTAGAGAAAATTAAAGTTTCTATGGCCAGGATTCTCACCCGACCCTGGTCTGCTTGCCCCCTTCACGTGTCTGTGAAGGCCAAATCCATGTGCTGTATTTTTTTTTCCATATTATTATTGACTGTATAAAGAGCTCTGCCCAGTGCTCTGGGCTGCACGGCTGCAGGAGAGCAGAGGTTGGAGTGGTGGCAACACCTGGGACTGAGGCTAAGACTGCTGCCGGGGTGGAGAGGCCCAGAGGCAGAGACATAGGTGGATTACAGATCTGCAGACTGCTGGATGCAGACGCGATTCTAGTGCTCAACCTGCCACCATGATAATAAAGCCGGGTATCAACCCTTTTATCCCAAGAACATTCAGTTGTCATTTCTCAGTCTCACCAAATCCATCGTGAACTTGCCTGTGGCTGAAACCCTCAGGCAAGACAACTGTCACATGAAAGATGTATTAGAATATTTTTTTGCCTTTATGTTTTCTAAAGTGTAGAAATTAAAGGGAGGAAAATTTCAGCTCAGTATAAAAAAATTACTTTCTACTAAAATGGAGTGTCTGAATGCCACCATTGGAGTTATACAGTCAGGAACTGTACAGTATTTTCACTAGGATCTTGGGGAGCATTCCTGTTTGTATGTGCCTTCCACCTTTGAGCCACCTGGTGAGCCGCCTGGATGGCAGTGTCTATGAAGGTCAAATCCATGTACTACCTTTTTTTTTTACTCCAGCAGCAAATAGCCCAGTCCGTTGAGCAGAGTAGGACCTTAAGAAGCACTTCTTGAATATCTGAGTGTTGAATTCATGTTTCTGTACTTCAGCAATAAACCCAGTGCAATGTCTGCAGTGCACACTAAGAGGAAGCATTTGTACCAATTCAGATTTATTTTTCCCTTTTCTTAAAATACACAGTTGTGAGGCAAAAATAGTTATTTGCTTCAGGTTATCTGATTATTACAATTTCTTAGATACTTTCTCATCTGTCTTGAAGGCAGTTATGTAAAAACGTACACACACATCTGGAGCCTCACTCATTTTCCTCACTCCATCTAGAGCACACTACCTCCAGGTGCCCTGCTCCCCTTTCTGTTCACCTTTATTTTAAGATCGCCTAGCGACTCTAGGAGGGCCTGGCTGTCCATTTCACTCCAACCATCACTGCTATCCGCTGATCACCATGGCTAATCAGATGGTATGACAGTCTGCACCAATCATTAAGATGACCCAAATTAACAGCCTGGCCATGTCACAGCACATTCATTCCACATATACAGACATGGCCTAAGTGTGAGGCAGGAACTTGGATGTGCATATTTGTGTTTGCATTGTAACATGCATTATTGATTGCCATAAGCTGCTTTAGCACTTTAAATCTGCAAATGAGAATCATCTGTCAATTATTACAGCTAGAATTGAGATCTGAGAGCAAAAGAGAAAGTGTACATGCCTTTTTCTACCAGCATTTTCTTTCATTTGCCATTTTCCTTCACAGTTACATTGTAAAGCATCTTAGTTCAACATATTCCCCAGCTTAGAAGGATTACTTAATCAGAATATTTTTATATCCTGAAAAGAGAAACATCTTCCCCAGCCAGGTGAGGAAGGTAGTACAGGCCCTGTATTGTAAATTCATTGTGGGAATTCTGTAATCCAATTCCCTAGCGTACACTGGTCAATAAAGCTCAGTTCTTAGTAAAAGACCGGCAGCCTTATCTTAATCACAGTTGCAATTGTTGGCACTTTGCAGTGCCTGGTACAAATTATCCCCCAAATATTTGCATTCTTGATAGCCATTTTTCTACAGTGCATTTAATAAATAGAGGGTCCTACTACCTGCTAAATGTTAGTATAAATTAACAACCATTATGCACAGTAAGTTTTATAAAACATTTACCGATAGAGATCATGTTTAATTAAAATTAACTTGCATATGAAAGCCAACGGCACTCATGATCACAATGACCTTTTATTACCTGCAGTCCCTTGTTTTGGCTGGATGATTGACAGCTTGCTGTTTGGCTACCATGTTGAATTTCAGCTGACAAGACTTTTCATTTTAACTCAATTTGCCCGCCTATCACAAGCTGGTGGCAGGCCAGACCCAAGTCACCCAGCTTTGCCTCAGCAGCTTGCTCTACTTCTCATTAGTACGCATTTATTCAGTGGAAATTGGAAGACAAATGCTTGAAGGCATGTGAACTAAGTATAGCAAATTAGGTTTAAAGACTGAATATTTATAAGTATATGGAAAGTTTTTTTTTTTTAATTCTAGAGCAAATTGAGAACTGAGTGCTAGCTTTCGATAAAAGAAATGAAGATAGAAGGGGGAAGGAAGATTCTAAGAATAACAATACTATAAGCTTTTTCTTTCCATTTTGGAAATATGTAAAATCTCTCTGACAACACCTTATCAAATACCAACCTGGCCTCTCTTTCGTGGAGTGCTTGCACAATGAAGTTTAACACCTCGTGTGTGTGAGAAGGGGGGAAAAATGAGGGTCATGTTCATTTGTTGCTTGGTTATCCCTTGGTATGTTTTAAATTGCCTTGTTTGTTCGGCACTAGCACAGAAACAGATGTTGCTCTACCGTGCAGGATAATTTACTGTACCTCCTGGTGCAACATGGAAGTCCTCCCAGGGCCCAGCTGGTCTGTCAGTGGCACTGGCTGGTGTCTGCTCAACTATGACAACTACAAGTAGATGCTGCAATTTTTTTATTGTGCAGTTGTCATTCTTCTCAACATATAGCCCTGCCTGCATTCTTACTGGCTCTGGTGGAAAAGCTGCTGGCTTTTGTGTCTCTATGTTGTAGCACAGAGCCAGGGAAGCTCCACTCTTCCTTGTTGATAATAATGCAACTCATTACTTATGTCATCTAATGATTATCGGCATGGTCGCTCAGAGCGAGAGCCAGCCTCATCTTGCACACATAACTGGTACTGGAAGGTAAAACAAATTTGTCATTTATGATCTGACCGCTAAGCCACACTTTGTGCTCCATTATTGTGATTAACTTCTGCATAAGATATGCTTGCCCAATTGTCATTTGTGATATTGCAGTGGGCGCGAGCTGCCATGCTTCCCTCAAGCACATCAGCCAATCGGATGTGATCATGGTATTTGGAATGTTAAATGCCTGCCCTGTCACAGAGCCACCCCACAATTATTTTGCTTTTGTATTTCTTCTTCCCACACCCCTACTGGACTTGCTGAATAGCACTGCTACGTATGCCAGCCACCATTTCACACCACAAACTAAAATGTTGCTGTGCTATTGTTGATCCAACAGAGCTAGCAGCAGTATACGGAAGCCGACCCTTGCTCTTCACCATAGAAATGTTGGTCACTGATGTCGTGCCAGCTGAAATCCGTCGTGTCAGGTGCCTTGTGGCTATCTGCAGTGGAGTCCACATTCCAGAACCAAAGTTCTTTTCTGGGCACGTCACCAACAAACTAGAGTAACTCTGCCTGATTATAATAACAAAGGCAGTCCAAAAGAATATGCACAACCTCAGTGGACGTCACATCAAATTACTGTACTGGCCACACAGAGCTGACCACAGCCTCATTTCTTTAGACAAATGCAAGCTTAGGGAAAAACCTCCTGGGAGAAGGCACCCAAAGCTACACAATATTCCTATGCATGCTGTACATAGATTTAAATTTCAGTGACATAGCATTTGTTTTTATTTTTTGACTGATGCAAGTCCTCAGTGACCAGCCTGACACTATAATCTAATAATTCGGCACTCCACGTTTCTGAGTTTTGCTGAATACCAAGAAACTGGGCCGTGTGTGTGTGTGTGTGTGTGTGAGTGTCTAACCTGCACATCAGAAACACAACCATTTGTTACCATGTGAAGGGGAAAAACACTCAATTCGGAACTCTTTTTCACATTGCTGATTAGAAAGAATCAAGCTTTATATTCTAGGACCCATTCACGCTGGTGAAAACATAGTCAGTTTTGATTATGAAGGCAGAGATGCAGACCTAGACAGGAGCTACATGCTGATATGCATGCTATCAGAATGATTTATGCAAATTATGCATATTATTCCCAAAGGAATTCCTCCTCAAACTGCCAGGATAAATTGCCGGAAATTAGCCATAAAATCTGTCGTGCTAGGAGCAAAAGGTGAAGGCCACTGGGAAAGCAAGGACATTCAGCTTCTGGAATCTTCCAGGTTATGATGGTGGCTGTTACTCTCCCTGGATGCTGAGGGATTTAAATACGGTTTTCTTCTGAATCCTATATAAGTATTTTCCCTTTGAAATTTTTCCAGCAAATGCTGACTCACATTTTATTTACAGCTAGCATAAATGAAATTAAATGTTAAGCTGTCTCAGAAAGCACTACTACAATTACTTTACTATTAACTCCCTAAGTGGTCATTAAATACCTAAGCCTGGCTTTAAAGACATATCTGTTCTGAAGGTTGGTGAAATAACCCACCAGCAGTGTACTTTAACTGGACGTGGTCTTAATGTCAGTATATAAACCCTGTAACACAGCACTCCTCTTTTGCAAACCATTCTTTCCTACAATAATCCAAATTAATGACTTTCTGCAGAAGTACAGCACGGTTGCCTCCTGTCTGAAATGTCCCCAAGTCATCTCACAGCCTAGTCCTCACTATGGTGGCTCCCTCTTGGTGCTCCATGGATATGATTAGGAAATTACCTTTCCCTATTGATAATGAGCTCGCTTTTCAGGAGCAATCATCTTTTAATAAGTTGTTGCTTGCTTGTTTCCTTCAGAAAGCACTGTTCTCGAAGTTTTACGACTGTGCTCATTTTCGAGCGTCCTTCGTTTTGTTAAAGAGGATATGATTCTACATTTAGAGACCCGGGACTACCGTCTGCGGAAGGGGGACTTCATAGCCATCTTACCCCCAATGTCACACTATGACCCGGAAATCTTTGAAGCTCCAGAGGTAAATAAACATCAAGCTGGTCATTTCTCCTTTTCTGATATTGTGAGCACATTTCTCTTCTTCCTGATTTCTTTCTATCACTTCCTTTTGCCATCTTGCTCCAGAAGGGATTTGAAACAGCTTGATGACTTCTGCTCTTCCATCCAATGGGAAAATTTTCTTATTGCTGAAGTGTTCTTGGAAGATCTCTTTAAATGTTTTGTGATCTATAAACCAAAATACAGTGATGAGATTAAATGCCAGTGTCTTCAAATGAAATGAACATTGTACCTTGGTCATCATTACCTTTAAGCAAACTTAGGCTTTGCTTGGCAGAGTTACTGAAACCATGGTGGGCTAGCTATTGACAGATGGCTTAGGAAATAAATATGATGACTATTTTGCTAAGTATTTCCAGAGTGGGGTTGGGTTAACTGTCCCAAATTCAAATACCATCATTGCAATATTTAAACCCATATATTTTTTCACTTCTTACTAAAGGTATATGCCTCTTCTTGATCAGTTAGGATGGCATTATGAACTTGAGACTGTAAAGCTACTGCTCGCAGGTGAAGCTCTGAGGGTAATTGTTCATCTCCTTATATTTATTTCTGAAGCTGGAGTTAATGAACATCAAAGACTGGAAATTAATCCACCCTGGCTCATTCCTTAATACCATGTTGGAGACTCACCACCTGCATGCAAATTGAATACAGTCATATTCTGTCTGTGCTTCTCATGAAGTAATGTTGCTGCAGTGGTTTTTGCATACAAAATGACATTTTTCCAAGGGAAACTTCTTTGCTTTTCTTGAGCAGTTCATAGCTGAACCACTTTTAAACCAAATTTCTAATCTTGGAAATTAATAAGAGGACAGACTTCAAATCCAATGAGATAACTCGCATTTATTTCATCAGCAAAGGCAAAAACTTTTAAGCGAGAGTAGAATGCACATATGGTTTCTATACATTTCAGAAGAAGAGGCATTGTATGAATGATGATAGCAAATAGCAAGTCAGAAATAAGGTATTAGCAAATAGACATTCCACAGACAACAAACTTCATCCCCACATTTGTAAATATCAAAAATTCCACACTTAAGTAGATATTCAATTAATTGGGTGAATAATATTATATATAATTTATAACTAATATATAATAATAACTGGAATAAACAATATTTACAAAATATTTTTAAAAATTAAAAATTTCATTTATATGTACAATTTTTGATTAATTTAACTTATGCTACTATTTCCATTATGTGATTATTCCACTAGTGATTAAGCCTACTATTCATATCGTGGTAGGAAAACCAACATTAAATTGATGAACAAGTCCTTAACAAATGTTTACCAAATTACCATTGTTTTTATGATACTGTTCTTTGGGCTCCTCTTTTTCTCCATCCTCTGACCCTGCTCCTATGATGGAAAAGACCATGAATTAGATTTTTAGAAATGTGAAAATCAAAGTTAAACATTGAAAGCATGCTGACTTATTTTTTTTCTGTGGAGTACTAAATAGCAATGCCCAAACTTTATATAATCAGTCAATCAGTCTTAATAGTAATCAGAAGGGTTTGCTTCATACTGAAGCTGTACAATGAAATTGCAATATTGTTAAAACTGATTCATCATTCCTAGAGTAGTTCTGACTTGAGTTGATGAGCACTCTCTATTATTTACTAGACGTAATATTAGCCGCTTATGCCTGACTAATGTTAAATTAGCTGATTTTTGGCCACAGTATTGTTTGCTTAAAATTAGTTGTGGAATGCTGGTAATTACTGGCACAGAAAAAAAAAATGATGCATTTACTGAGCACATATCACTCTCGGTTATATAGATTGAGTCCTTTTATTCTTAACAACATAGGGTGGCAATAAGCAGATGCTAAAGATGTTCATGTAACAGATGCCCATCCAAAACTGCTATGTACTGACAATAAAAAAGAGAAGAAAATTCTGTGAAATGCTGTCGTTGGTCATTTGTCACTAAGAAGCACTGGCCTAGGAGCCCCTCAAAGTCTCATATTCCTCACTGTCTGCCTTTTGTGCCCTGTGGATCTTGAATGGGAAGACTAGGCCCCAGACATAGAAAATAGACAACAGCTGTTAGGCCAAAAACTTGAGGAAGACTAACTCCAGATATAGTATAGTTATTCTCTTAGGACACAGAGACTGAAGAGCCTTAGCGGAATGTAGGTACTGCCAACCAAATGAAACATGGATTCAGGATATTGAACCCCCACAGGCTGTCTGATATTACATTCCAGAAATGGGCCATATCTTCCTTCACACATCTTTCTATTCCTACAGTGTCCCTCTTAATTTGTCTACTAAAGAGGCTCTACAGAGATTGCTCTCCAAGAATCACCCTCAGTCACCTCTTCTTTGACAGTGTCCCTGATTCCCACCTCTTTCCTCAGAGAATTCACCATTGTCCACCCTGTGGCCCATGTGTGCCTTTCTTATGGTGCACACCACACAGTATTGTACAGTTACCTGTTTACTTGTCTGTACTCTATATGCTTCTTTTCCAGAAGGGGAAAGACCCTGTGTTCACCTCCCCTGCGTTCCCAGTGCCTGGTACACAGGAGGGCGTCCAGACACAGTGAAGAAATAAGGGAATGCTGGGAGAGAGGAAAGTACTGAAAGCAGAAATACACTTCAATTAAAATGCTAAATCATCGCAAATATTGTACATCAGATTATGTACCAGGCCTACCCAGATCCAGTAGATGAAGTGATATGGTGTAAATATAGTAATATTGTCAGGAGTGACAGGCTCTATAACAAAAGAAGAGCCCAACAGTCATTCATCTACATAAGACCATTAGGCTACAAGCAAATGCTCACGTGGCCAAGTCATTTTTATTAAAAAACAAACAAAAACTCCAAAAACAGATTTCTGGGTGAACCTTAGAATTTTTAAATGTTCAGAAAAATAAAATTTAAAACATAATGTGGGAACTGATTGGGTCTATAAGCTACCAACATGTACCTTCTGTGTTAAGAATTATTCTTTCCTGGAAGATTGATTGCTTAACTCATTAGAATGTTAGCCACATAGGTGGCACTTGCTTATGTGGGAAAACAAATTGGCAAGTACAATTTAAAACAGTGAGAGAAAGCAAAGGAACCACCCTTCCCAATTCTTCCTTCCTTTCTCTTTTTCGATCCAAGTGCTATCTAAGAAAGTCTAGATTAATTAACAAGAATGGATAGCTTTTTAAATTTTTCTCAAGCCTTCCTCAAATTTGTTATCTGCTAGAATTCAAGCAACTGGCTCTCAAATAATCAATAAATGATGATTTCTTTTCTTCCAAAAGGCAGTGTACAGAACTGGAGCTATGGAGACCAAAAATATTGGTTGGTTTTTCTCTGGCCAGAAGTGCTAAGGTATAAAGGGACAGCTGAGGATACTTTTGGACCACAGGGAAGAAACAGCAAACATTTAAGATGGCAATACATTATCATAACCATGTAGCCTCCTAATGTAAGAAAATAGTGACACAACAAAGTAATTCCGAAGCCATCATAGTACACCCAAAAACTTTGAGGTTGAATGTCTTTATTTGACCTCATGGAAATCTGTTCTACCTGCTTAGAGGTGTAGGGATTATAAGGTGATAAATGAATTTGAGAGCCCTTGAAAAAATTCTAGATCACTATAAAAATTGTTCTTTCAATATTATTTTGATTATTGTCACCATTCTTAGAATAGACTAGTCATGACAAATGAGGAAATCACTAAATAATTTTTTGTCTGTATCTCCAACTGGAATAGAGATCGTCCCACCAGTACTCTTCAAGGAAACAAACAGATACTGATCATCTATTATCCAGAGTGCTCTTTGATTGGCCTAACGCGTGACACAGAAATAAAAAAATTCTCCTGTCCTCAACAGCTTGTAACTTAGGGGCTGGGCCTGGTCATGTGGCCATGTTTTCATAGCCCATGCTTCATGTTGAGAGGGTTCCTGCTGTACCAGTAAGTCGGCACTTCATTTCTCCATGTCAGAACCATGTCTGCTAAACCAGCATTCCCCAAAAGCCCTGATTTTGTCAGGTTTTTTGGTGTAAACCCTCCCACATCGACTGACTTCATGTTGCCAGTGTGAAGACCCTGAACAGGAAGCAGGGAGGAGATGTGCTTCCTCTCTTTCAATAGTGCAAACTGACCGCAGCAAACCTCTGGTTGAAACCCAAGCTGCAGAGATAAAAAGGAACTGCTGTATTTTGTCATCTTGCTCCCAGGAGGACAGACTATAAACCAGGGGCAACAGTGAAACCCCTTAATCATCATTCAAAACATTGACGGTTTTTATTGCTAGGAAGTCATATCTTGTCTAATCTAGATTCCTATACCCAAAAGGATGAATTGAGTAATTACAAAACCTGGTCATATTGTGTATCATCTGCCTGAGCAAGACCCTGTTTTATGTCTTTTTAACTTCAATATTTCACATACAGGAAGTACTCAAAGAAATCTGTTGAACTGAGTTAAGTGTGATATTTTGAGAACACAAATTAGGGTGTTACTGCAGTGTTCCTAAATCGCTTCTACCAAAATTCTTCTCTGTCTGGAAAATTGTATCATTTATCTAATCATGATTTCTAGTGCCAAATATTATACCATTTTCTACTGTAACACTGAATATTCATCTGCTTTTCACTCTCTACTTGTGTATCTACTCATTCGTTATCTATATTTTCTTCATAAGCTTGAAGATTTTCGTATTTGTTCATGGAACGTCTGTTATGTGCATGGCACCGTGTTGGGTGCTTTGGAAAAACAGACAAGTAAGATGGTGGGACAACTCCAGTCTCGTGGGATTGCCCGGCTGCGCCCTCTGTCGGTGGGTTAGCTCCATCGCCAACCTGGCGGCAGGACAGCTGCGGTAGTCACAGGCATCATACTCACATATGACTAGGGCCAGAGGAGGAATGGTGATGAGCCATTTTTGTTTGTTTTTCCTTCTTCAAAAGATGAGAATTTTTCGCAGATGTCCCCACTGTCTTTTCCAAAACAGCACCGATGAGATCCTAAATCATTTAGAGGCCAGAGCAATGTGATTTCCATGACTGGTGCCTAGACAAATCTTACACAGAAGGAAGGTGCTGAGGAGTGAACCACAACAACCATTAGAAGAACAATGGGGAATTTCAGTGCCTTAGGAATTCTCTTATCATTTCTCTGTTCTCACCCATTTAATAATATCGCATTTATTTGACCCTCTTTAATTGTGAAGCACTGGTATGGTTATTGCAAAGAGTTTAAGTTAATAATACAAACCCAGTGTTTAGTTATTCCAAATGAATGAATGCATCTTGAGCTTCCTAACTCTTTGTTTTATGTCACTGTGACCCCAAAATCTCAGGGGTGAGACTATTACACTCCTCTTTTTAGCTAAAAGTAGATGGTACAAGTCCTTCCCAGTTCCTGCTGTGTTCTCCATGCTCTGGCAATGGAAAGCAAACTGAAAATAAATCTTAACTCAAAAACATGTGTATGCCCTACTGCCCTGTGGGCTTCGTTGTAGTCACAGAGCAAAACAAGTTGGCCTCTTCCCTTCTTGTTTCATAATATAAACAACTAAATTGGAATTTTTTAAATGTTTATTATGAGGAAATTGGATAGAAGTTGATCAAAAAGTAGAGGAGTGAACTACTTACTGATTGACTAGAAATCTGAGGGAATTGAATATAAACACTAACTGAAGGACACAGGGATGGGGAAGCATTATGTGTCATCACTGTGACCTCTCGGAAGGCAGCACATTCACCTTCACAGAGAACAGGAAAGCTGTGTGAATTTCTGGCTTATTTATGAAGTCAGGACATTATGAAGTCATAACACAAGCTATGGGTAAAAAAATACCTTTGTATTTTCTGGCTTAAACATTGGGGTCACAGTGAGATCTTTTCTAACAAATCATTTCATAGCAAATTGATTTATACAGATTAGGCATAGGCAGGGAACTCTTGGGGGTCAAGCTGGTCTCCTCAGATTGGTCAGTGAGCAAGAAGCAGCAGTAGTAAACTCAGGTGAGCAGGCCTGGGCCCCAGTAATGGAAAAACATCACTAGGAGAGATGGCCGGCCATGTAGTAACTCTATCTCCAGTAATAAAGAGTATGTCAACAAAGAGCCCTTATTCATTATGACAAGGATGAACAGGTATTTTTAGTTTAGCACTGGTTTGATCCCATTCAATTGTATCCCAGAACTGTCTGTGGGAAAATACACTTGTGTCCTAATGCAGATTAATTGTGGCATTCTGATGGCATCAACTTGCAAGTTGGAAAGGAATGTAAACTACCCAAAGTGTATTTTCTAAGCTTGAATATTTATCAAAATAAGTGCCCTAGAGAAATGAAGATAAACATAATGCTTTTAAAGAAAATGAATTGCTGACATTAATACTGGCATTCAGTGAGAAAATTAGGTAATTTGTGAAGGATTGAGAATCTACCCATATTATTTCTAGGGTTTTCACTGTAACTTGAAATGCTGTCAACCTGACCTGTTTCTCTGCCTTTTACTTCATGTACTTCATATCAAAGTTGTGTGCTGAGCAAGTCTAATACTAATGAGTGCCAAGTACAAGAAATTCTTGGTCATCTTCATGCATGCCATGTGTATTAATTTAATCAGTGGTTTAATTCACCATGGGCTAAAAAAAGGTCATTCAATCTCTTAGAAACTCAAGTGAGAGTAAATTAAGATGGTGGGCCAAACACCCTAGGTAAACTAGTCCCATAATCTTTTGTAACAGGGAATATAACTTATTTATGAAAACATATCAGAAACACCTACCACCCTAGAGTTGAGCCAAAAGAGTACATTTTAGTAGAACTGCTATAGCAGAAATTCAGTGCATTCAGAAAACAAGGAAGACAGGTTTTGCAGCTTACTTCCTAGCGCTTTATGTGAATTTTATTATTTTATATCTATTTAATCCTATAAACACTGAATCCTAAGCTCATAGTCCTCATCCTTCCCAATATCTGACTGTGAAGGGAAAGAAAACAGCATATTAAGGAGCCTGATAGGCAGCTCTTGTGACCAATAGGATTCATTGTTTCATAGTAACATAACAGTGGTGGGATGACAGGAGCCCTTACTGTCTACCCAACGCTAGTCTATCAAGTGCCGGTAAGTCAAGGCCCATCTTAGAGAATAAAAACAGAGACTACCTCTAAGGAAACTCAGTGTAGGAGAGAAATGTGAATTGGGAAGAGAAGTCATATTGGTGTTAAGATTTCGCTTTGACATGGGACAAGCCATTTCCTAGTAGCATTTGAGTTTTTTGAAGTTCATGCAAGATTTGCACTTAGTCAGGTTTTACTTTTTGGTGTTTGCTACATTACAAAGAGCCTTTTAAGACAGTCAGGGAGAGTTGGCAACTTTGTAAAACTATTTCCTGTATATGTTTCATACTGACACTCAATCTCTTTTTTCACAGGAGTTTAGATTTAATCGTTTTGTAGAAGATGGTAAGAAGAAAACCACCTTTTTCAAAAGAGGGAAGAGACTGAAATATTACCTAATGCCATTTGGATTAGGAACCAGCAAATGTCCAGGCCGGTTTTTAGCAATTGTTGAAATAAAGCAATTATTGATCGTACTTTTAACTTACTTTGATTTTGAAATAATTGATGATAAGCCTGTAAATCTAAACTACAACCGCCTTTTGCTTGGTGTTCAACATCCAGATTCTGATGTTTTATTTAGGTACAAAGTAAAATCTTGAAGATGCTGAAAGTAGAAAAGAAATCCATCAAAACTAACCAAACAGCCTCTGTTCGTCTATTTGCTTTTAATCTCTGCAAATGTAATTGTTTTGTTTGTATGTGTGTCTAAAAAGTGCCAAATTCTATTTGATCTGAGGTCAGTCCAGTTTGCACTTGGCCACAAAACACATTATAAAACAAAACAGGATGGTGGCATGAAAATGGACCTCAAAAGCAACATAATGATAAACAAAATAGTTTTTTTAATTTCTGCATGTTATGTTCTTCACCTATCTTAGTAAATGAACAGAAATCAATTGGATACTGTGGATTTTTTGGTCACTCAACTTCTTCTCTAATATGTACAAACACATTTCATATACTACTGGAAATTTGTGCTGGAAATGGATATAGTCTAACAAATTCCGAATTCTCAAGAGAAGGAAATTACATTTCCATGAGATACAGTGGATGAAGATACTTCCTTCAAATATAATAGCAATAATTTCTATATTGCCAGTATACATTTGCATTAAATGAGTTTTGTGGTAGAGTAAATGTTTCAACTTTACTTCAGTATTTAATCATCCATAAATGCTTTTTATTACTTTGTATACTATGGCTCAGTAGAACAAAATTCCTTGTTATATAAGACCATTCATGTTCAAGTTAGATACTGGTAAGACTTAATGTCTAAGAACACACATAACCTATTATTTTTAATCAGTTGCCCTAGACATTAGTATTATGCTTATTGTAGAAGCAAATATTGAAGTCATTACAGGATTGATTATAGCATTTGGCTTTATTGTAAACTAAAAGAGTTATGCCAGTATTATAATTAATTCTTTCCTAAATGCTTTCATTAATATAACTGAGAAACTAGAGAGCAGTATTTGTTCTTGACACCTCACCCTTTTGGGCTTGGAGTTCCGTCGTTTTATTTTGAGTCACAACATTAAGTAAGCCGTATAATTTCATATGCCATAATGCAGCCTTGTGTCCATGATTCAAAGAGTTGTACTATCAGACTACCAAATGATTGTCTGGCATCTGACATGAAGGATGATGTTCTGTGTAAACAGGCAAAACAAGTAAATGAATCCAGTTAATTCATGCTGCATAAATTGGAACTTCTATTATTTCAGAAATGTGCTATTGTTTTTTAAAAGGAAATTGATTTTTAAAATAACATAATTACCATACATAATAAGTAAATAGATTTTCTAGCATTTATTTCTCTTTCCTGAAGTACATGCTCTAAACATTCCTGAGTGAAGGTCTGCTAGTCCAAACTGTTTTTGCTTAATTGAAAACATCTTCATTTTTGCCTTATTTCTTAAAGATGATTTTTCTCAGTGCACAATCTACATCGACAGTTACTTCCTCATAGCACTTGGAAGATATTACATGTTCTTAAGGCTTTCACTTTTGTTATTAAGAGGTTAGCCATCAGTCAGTTTAATTATTCAATAGGTAGTCTGCCTCTTCTCTCTAATAGCTTTAACATGTTTCTTTGTCTTCAATGTTCTTAGTTTCTTTCTATTTATCATGGTTACATGTCACAGTGCTCCCCCAGTCTGAGGAAGTGTGTCTTTCATCAAGTATGGAATATTCTGAGCCATAAAGTCTTTGAAAAATAGCTCTCTCTGACCCTGTGTTAGATCCTCTCACTCAATATTCCATGCTGCTTGACTTTTTCTCTCTATATTTTCTATCTCTAATTTACACTCTAAGTAATGTGTGTAGATCTCTCTTCCAGTTTATTCTCCATGCAGTGTAGCTAATGTGCTGTTTAACTCATCCATTGAGTTTCTTCCTTCTTTTTATTTTAACCTCAGCTTCACAGGATTAAGTGATCAAACTCTGTATACTCCTTAGTTTATAGTACACAATTAAAGTTGGTCCAAGCAAGGACCCCTGGTATGTATCTTTATAATATATATACTGTTATCTTCGGTGTGTACGTTTTTAATTTCCTCAGTGCATTTTCTGTAGACCAGAGCCTTCTAAATTTTCTTACTAAGTGCTATGTTTTAAAGATACATCCACATCACATTTGAAGATGACTTCATTTTGTCCTCATTCTTGATGGTACTTGGTGCACAAGTCTAGGCAGACAGTTATTTCCTCCCACCACTTAGAAGATATTGCTTTCATTTATTGCTTCTAACTACTGCATAGTATTTCACAGTGTGCACCCACCATGTTTTAATGCTCTATTTACCCAGTGATAGAAACTATATCAGTAGGATGGTTTCTTTGGGGTAGAGGCCAAAGCAGGACCTAAAAACTCTATCCTCCCCATCCTCCCACTGCCATGTCCAGCCACTCTCCACCCTGGGCTGCTGCAAACCCACACGACATTTGGTCATGACAGCCTTCATTCTCCTTGAGATGTTCTAGATTTGTTATGTTCAATCCTCAGATCCTTATGACCCTCTCCATCCTTGGGGTCTCAGGGTTGATTTTGAGTCAGGGCACCAGCTACCAACCTGTCAGCTTTCAGTTTTCAATCCCACTGAGTTTGCTAAATTCAGTGATTCCTGTTCACTTTGAGAACTCTTGATTCTTCGTATCTGCCTGGTCATTTTTAATAATATCTTGTTATACACTCAATATCCTCTTTCATTTATTTAAATATGTTAAGAAACCTATTTTGTATTCTGTATCTGATACTTCCAAATTTATCAGTGTTTCGTGGGTGTGCAGTTTGTTGGTTTCTTGTCCATAAGACTTATTCAGTATGACTTGGTTACTGAACCCAGATTCCTTGGAATTTTATCTCTGGAAATTTTATAAGACCTGAGTTTAAAGTTCATTCCTCCAGAGAGAATTTGTGTTTGCTTGTCTGACTGCTGATGTTACTATCAAACTCAGATTACTTTAACTTTTTAGCTTGAGTGTTTTGAGAGGAGTTGGGGGATGAGAGCTACAGAGGTAGTGTGAGCTCTAGCCCTAGATCAGTTGCAATGCAGTCCTGTGATTAGAAATAATCAGGAGAGACTTGCTGCGTTTTTTTCCCTTTCATCCAGAGCCATCACTGATTCTGCAAGTACACCCACAGTCTTGCTCTATGGAGCAAGGTTTCTTTCTAGCTCACCTACTAAGGATGTTGCCTTTGCAAGTTCTTGGTTTTGTGCAGAAGTCCTGGATTTCACACACACCTACCGTCTTGAGCCCTGTGCTTTATCTCCTGCCTTCCACAAAGTGTAGTCCATTCGTTTTGTACTAGGACACCTAGTATGCCATATTGCCTGAAGCAGAAATGTCTATAATCTTAAATTCATCTTAGTAGCACACATTTGTGATGGTATAGTAGACATAACACAGTAAATTACTCCATTCAAATTCATAACTAAAAGTGAGTACAGGAATTTATAGTAGAAAGTAAAAGTAATAAAGTGATTGAGAAAATATATAAAAGCAATAGCCAGTGGAGCCAAAATGAGAGAGTCTTGTGACAGACTGAGATCTAGTAATTAAAGAGTGTTAATGAACAGAAAAAAAATGGAGAAATAAGTGACAAGACATGGATTCTAACTGCGACATAGCTGGTTTGTTGTTATTGACAAGTCACTTGGCCTCTCAGTGCTTCAGTTTCGTTACTTGCAAAATAAAATAATGCCGTTTTGACACCAGGGTTCATTATAAGGATAAAGCATAGTAAGATAAGTGAATTTATTTTGAAAAGGGCAATCCAATATGCAAATGTAAAGTTGTAAAGGAGATAGGCTAACAATGCTGTGCCTTTTAAAAACTGTTCTTATGTTAAAGAGAATCATTCTTTAGTCCTTAGGTAATTACTTATTCATTTATTCAATCAAACATTTTTGAGCATTTCCTCTATTCTAGATATGATGTTACGCAGTGGATTGCCCTTCTTCAAGAGCACACAATTTACTAGAGAGGGCAACACATACACAAGTAATTTATTATAAATGTAGTTGTAATACATCTTTTTAAAAAGTTCTTAAATTCTGATATATCATTAGTACTAATTAACCTTTCATCACTCATTCCAAAGTAGTGTTCTGTAATGAGAAATACTATAGACATAATTACACACAATAAAACATATACAACAGGCATGACAGTCACTGAGGCTCCAGAAATTTTTTAATGGCATTTTAAATATCACAAACTTACATCTTTTCAGATTAACAGCCTCCTCCAAGTTTCACATTGAAGGAAATTGGTAACTAATAATTTTTTTATATCAATGACCAACAGTAATGAAGCATTCAGATAGCAAAAACTAAATGCTCTGAAGATATTAAGAAAAAAGCTGTTTAGCACTAAATAAGGCATGCTGATAAGCAACCTATTTGGAAACTTTTATCTGCCTTGTTTTAGCTTTGCTGGCACAGTTCATTGTATCTTCTCCATTTTAGCATTAAGTTTGGGTCCCAAGTCTAAGGCAAAGAACTTCCATGCTCAAAATTTTCATGATTACATCTGTTTATTTTCTCATAAAAAAAGAATTTATGTAACACTTCCTATTATAAATTCTAATTTAACAGTGGAATGTTAAGACCAATTTCAAAGATCAAAGCACAAAAATTATCTAAGTTTTGATCTTAGTATAAAATAATGTCAATAATTATAAAACAAGAATTATATGCCCTTAGAATGTGCTCTGCTTTGAACTATTAAATTCACTGATATTGCAATCTATTATTTACTTGAACTGCATTATTAGCTATTCATATCCACATACTCAATTAAGAAAAAGGTAGCAAGCCAAGATTACATTCCCTGTAGCATTATTTTAAATTATAATGAGCAATCACATAAAACTCTAGTATTTCTCGAAAGCAATTATTACTTACTCTACTTCACAGTGTTAATCTAAATCAGTGATCATTGATGTTTGAACTTTTTAGCTTAAATGTTTATTTTGTTCATAATACTTTTTTGAGTAAGCTAAATTTAATTCATAAAAAATTCTGCACAATTTTAAATAGGAGATAATTTGGCAATACTTATGTTTAAAAATATTTTTTAGTCAGAGATATGCTGTGTATTTTTAAAAGCTGTTGTCCTGAATTGTTTGTTCAATATTATCTTTTGATTTTAAAATGGTATATATGTGGACTTATAAGGAAGCAAATTTTAAAGATTTCGGATGAGAAATGCAAGTGCTTTGTAAATCTAATTTTCTTTTATTTTCAACAAGAATTCAGTAAATCAACTTTTAAAGCACACGTGAATGACTATGCCTACTTATTTCCCTACCAAAAACATGTAAATATTTTACATGTGACAGAAGATTTAATTACAAATAGCAAATTATTTGGGAAACAATTTTGCTGCCTGACTATCCACATCCCCATCTCCCCTCACCAACACACACACACATATAATATACTTTTATTTTCTGACACTCTTCCTAAAAGTACATTAATTGTTATATTCAGAGTATTTTTCAATATAGTTTAACTTATTTATATGGGAAATTAAAATAGATACAAGAAATACCAGTGACTAATAAGTTTTTTAATAAGTTTATTTTAACCAGGCTGACTTTGCTAGGCTATAGTTCTTAATAATTACTATTATTCTATAGAGAGATATAAAAGTACAGCAAGAAATGGGAGAGAGATCCCAATAGATGCAGTCTTTGTCTTCTGCAGATTACTTTACCACAGATAATACATGAAGCTGAATAATATTTCTGTGTTCTATTTATTCATAAAGCTGAAACCCAAACTGTAAATAAAGCATATAATAGAGAATGCTGTTGATGAAAATCAAATGTGGCTCCTTCAGTAACTGTACACACAGCATTTCACTGGGACACTTGGCTTTTCTAAGAAACACTCCTGTGAGTCATTAGCATCTTCTAGGAACTTGCCTTAGACTCCAAAGGTGTTCCTGTACATTTGAACTAGTCAGGTCCACATTATTTAATAATTAGGGTAAGTTATGTCATTAAATGGATAATCTATGAAATAATTGTCATTGCTTTCAATTTTACTGAAAAAAACACTGAGTAAGTACAAATTTTTCAGAACTGTCTGGAATTAGCATGATCATGTGAGTAATACTGTGCATTTTCTATCCAGGATATAGCTGGAGAGAAAAATTACTAGTTAAGCTAGATAATTTTAAATGTGTTTGATAGAGTTTATTAATTATTTGAGGTATATGTTCTCAATTCCTAAATATATTCATTTTTAATAAGCAGACATGATGTATTACAGATCACACAAAGTATTTAGAGATAGACCCATGAAGCATTTTATTTCCCTAATATTTTGTGCTTACACAAGAAACTAGAGGAATATAAGTAAAAGTTAAATGTAGTAACATCTAATGATTCATCACTGAGTCAAATTTAAACAGTTACTAATATAAAGCATGTATTAGTTGGGGATTTTTATTTGTTATGAAGAGAACATTTACTCCATATAACTTTCATTTCTAAGAACTAGTTTTTGTAGTTTATTTACATAAAATGTATGTCACCATTACCTGAAAACTAACCTATGTTTTTTAATAAATGCTTTTTTCTTTTCTTTTTAAATTAATGTTTAAATGAACATAACTTCTAAGAACTGACCAATATATTTAAAATTTTATAAATGCCTTTGTTTTATGCTTTCAGTAGAATTTTTAGAAAGAATTTGAAATCATTTTTGAATTTTTTGATAAATGCAAATATGTACAGTAAGTAGTACTTTCTCCATGTTTTGAAGTTTGGTATTCATTATTTTAACTTTTTATTTTGACCTAATTTAAGGCTTACAGAAAAGCTATTAGATAGTATTCATTTTTAAAGAAGAAAGTCCTCAGACTAAACAGTGCTGGCAAAAAATGTAAACCAAGATGGGTTGCAGGACTTTAACAGTTGAAGATCTTAGTTAATCCTTGAATTTTGGAGATGACCATCCACAATAACTACCCTATAAGGCAACATACTGAAACAACTAGTGGCAGAGATAATTTGAGTATGTATGCCACCCAGATCCTCCATAGTCCAAATATGTGTTTTATTTTCATTAACATTCTTTTCTAAATTTAAAAAAAGCTTACTTTGTTGAGTAATTCCAGATTTTATTTAATTTCACTCTCTTGAGAAATGTACACTTTAAAGATATGTATGCCTAGTGCTTCAACAAATGAAAATTAAAACAAGTTATGCCCTGACCCTCCTTCCTGATACATGGGGCATTTAATAGACAGATTTCCTTTCCTCCTTCGTGGCTCTTCATGTTTCTGTGGAGGCCTGGTTAGGAAAATCATTGCTTTTCATGGGTGTCTCAGGAGGAGGGCACAAGCTCAGCCTGGCACCTGAATTTGACAGTAACTTTTCAGAGAGACTGTACATGGAAGATGTACCTGTACCTGCTTAAATAGCCTTGCATGATTTAATGTTCTAACCAGTTAGGTACATAGTCTAAGTCTCTCCCACAGTAAGATATTATTTGTCTTCTCTTTTCAAAGATTAGATTAAGATATTTAACAAAGAAATCCTTATACCAGGTTCTCCAGTAACTGACAGAGCAGAATAAACGCATAAAATGAGGTTAGGCCATGAAGCATTTTTATGTTTAAATTCTCATCTCTAAACATTCCTATTAGCATAGCAAATTTGAGTTGCAACCATTGTCCTAATAAAATATGAAATCTTGACAATTGCGAAGCATTTGTAAATAATGGGTCCTTTAAATATCCCTGAACTTTATTCTAAAACTTATAAGGAGAAATAATAATTGCTTTATATAACCACTGATACCATTTTAGCATTTGATGAAGATGTTAATTTATGGTTGGTTAGCAGTTTATGGCTGTCATTAGTTTTTCAGTTTGATCCACATTAGAAATCTATTTTTCTTTTTTATTTTAATCTGAGACAATTATATAAAGATATGGTTATGTTTTATCTAAAATGTATCATTCTACTATAGCATTTCAAATTATTCACAGATCATAGTTCTTATATGTGCATATATGAATTTAAAAATACAGCAATAAAATGCTTGAAACAGATCATAAATTTGCTTCATATTTTATTGCATCTCTGAATCAGGTTGAGAAGACAAGGGCAACTATGGTCTTTGGGAAAGAATTAACTCTTTCCCAAGCTGGTGAGAGTGAAATCATAGTGTGAATAATTAAAGCTGACTGGCCATCAAAACATCCTGTTGACTTGTAAGGTAGGGTTGTCCATTTTAGACAGGGGGCAGGGGAGAAGGGGAGCTTTGCAAAAGCCTCTTTCCCTTTGCTGTCTGACCTTCCCAGCCAGTCATTTCTCTTCCAGAGCTCTCCCATCTGTATTTCTGTTACCCAAATAAGAGAGTACAGGGGAAGGGAAGGAAGTCACACACGCACGTGCACAAGCCCTGGGGGGTACCTGGTAATTATGCAATAGTCCAGTAGTCTCCTGGATCCGTTAAGACTAGTAATTTAGAAAAAGTGGTATTTAACCCAAATCAAACCTCAGGAAAAGCGAGCAGAGTTTCCCAGCTTTTCTAGGAAGCGAAGAGTTCTTTGGGCTTTAAAACTGGGGCGCTTTCACAAAATTCCAGGATCGATGCGGCTGCGGGGTGCTCCTAACAAGCCTGGCATTCACCAGGCCACAGGGGTGCAAGGGACAACCCGATCCTAGTGCCACCTCTCCAAAGAGAGTGTGAGGCAGAGCTTCTGAGTTCGGTTTTTGTGCCAAGGAACTTGGAGGTTGGATGGCTTTGCTCCCGCAGGAGCACCTGGAATGCCAGTCCAGGGGAAGCATCGGGAGAAGTACTCTGCGGCGGCGGATCCCGAGTCCCTCCCAGCGCGCAGCGAAAGCAGAGCAGCGTGGTAGTAGCGCGTACTGAGGCAGTCGTTCCGTCTGTAACCTGCGGAAAAGCCGCTCCCTACCTACTGTCCTGCTAGGTCCCCAGGACAAACGTTTGCCTTGGCCCTTGGGCTAAACAGACACCTGCTGATCCGCACAGCCTTGAGAACCCTGGCTCTAATAAGCACATCAATCGATCAGAAGAGTCAGAGGTAAGGAGAGGAGAAAAAGACTTTTACTCTGAAGAGTTGTTTTTGCTCTTAAACTGTCTCCTGGTTTTCCCTGCGGTCTCCCTCCTTCCATCTACTGTGGGGATGTCTAATTTAAAAGGCCAAACTTAAATCAACCTGCAGCTCATTGGCTTGACATAACCAGGTGCGTCCAAGTTATGAGTGCCAACGGAGAGCGCGCAGGAGACGGGCTCATTTATTTTGCCCACATAACAAAAAATGTTAATTGACGTAAAGTTGCTTGGCACGTGGGTAATCTAGTCTGACCTGCGTTTTAATTAAAAGAAAACTTATTTATGCTTCTGATGCTCACGTTTAGCAATTTAATTTGTTTAGCGGTACCATTGTGCAGCAGTTGACCATCCCTCCTCCCCATCTGAATCCCCTTTTCATTTAAGGTTTTGCAAAGGAGCCTCGCCTGACCAGGGTTCATTACCTCCCGCCCTTCATGAACACTCTTTCGGGTCTCTACTCGCTCTGTCGCTCCACCCGGCAGAGCCGCCACAACGTGCTGCGAGCCGGGAAGTGAACTCTCATCATTATTTTTCAAAGTCTGGGAAGTGTATTATCCTTTTTCTTAGTGGTAATTAGTTACCATAGCATCTAATACGTAAATGTACCCAGAGCACACCATTAACAGCTAAACGGAGGACTCAATTTAACACAAGATTATATCTTTCATAAGTCATTACATTGGAAAAGTCAACGCCACTCATGCTGGAGCAATCTCAAGGTCCGGGGCGCCAAGAAAGGTTCGATTCCCGCATCCGAAACCAAGAGTGAGTGGGAAAGTGAAGTTCGTGAGCCTGGGCCCTGCCTAGTGAGCTGTCGGCAGTAAGGATGAGTGGTGGGTGGGAGGGAAGGGAGAAGCACTTAAGCTCAACACGGGATCCTGGAGAGGATGCCCAGCTGCGGAGAGTGGGGAGCGCACCACAGTGCGCGCGCGCGCATGTACACACACACGCTCACCGAGAGGGAAAACGCGGGCTAACAGCTAGCTCGTCGTCGAAGATCATCATTTGCTGGTCTTGCGGAATCCACGAAAAGTCCCGGCGCTTCTGTGGGTGCCCAGGGTCAACCTGGAAATGAGACCTAAGTGAGAAGCAGAAATTAGAGAAGGAAATTGAAATTAGAGAGAAATTAGACAAGGAAACGGTGGGAATAAAGGGCCAAGTGGGACTCTGGGTCCTCTCGTGACCTCCTCTGCCCACTCTCAGCTCCCTAAAAGCAGGAACAGCGGGATCCGCCAGGCCTCCGGGTTCGGTGGGCGGGTCAGCAGGCTCAGGGGAGGGCAAGGTCTCTAGTAGTCCGGTATGCTGCAGTTGTACGGGCCAAACTGCTGTGGCCAGAGGGCACTCCGGTATGGCCACCAGTGATCGCCCCGGGCACGACATGGATGCTCCATATTGGAAGGACATCTGCGCCCAAGTGTGTAGGCCCACTTTCCAGACTGGGCCTAAATTCAAAACCCAAACCTCAGAAGGAAAGTGCCCCAGGGGGTTCCTGGCCTGTGCGGGTTGGGGGCTGGGGGAAGAATTGTCTCTCTAACCACTGGCTTCCTTTTCTAAAGCAGCTGATGAAGAAACTTTGGAAAGTTCGGAGTTAGGGAAGGGAAGGCCACCTAAGTAAATCACCAGTTACCCCTCTGCTGGTTCTTCAAATGTCCTATGCTTATTCCTAGAACCAAACGCTGGTCACCTTCTGCATTTGGAAAGAGAACTGATTTGTCTGAAATGATCAAAATGAAAATAAATATCATTAACCCTGTTATTTTAATAATTGTACATAGTCATCTGATGTTTCAACCTATTCTCAATATTCTGTCCACCCCTAACCCTATCCATTTCAAGTCTCTTTCAGGACTATGAGTGGAGATTTGAGGGCAAAGACTAGAGAGGTCAAGGGTGAAAAAAAGGAGAGACTTTCTTTTCCTCCTGGAGTTCAAGATTTGTTATTTGTACAATTTCTAATAAGAATAGAACAGTATAGAAGTTGCACAGCAAGTATTTCAAGGCCTTTTAATAATAAGAAATATTAAACAGTAAATCTTTCAGCAAATGTGTCCCCTACAATATTAATATGCAAAAAGAAAAAATTCGACTAATAGTGGCTGTGGTTAATTCCTAATCAGAATGATGGACAGCAGGGCCAGAACAATACAAACTAATGGCTGTGTTGCTGATCACTTTACCCCTTGATTAAAGACACCCAATTATGGCACAGAACAGTGTCGTAATTATGTTTCTTAATCACATCCAGGAGGTTTAATTGCCTTAACGATGTGTTTCATTAAATGAATTTAGGTATTATAGTCGACAGTTTTCATACACAGTTGTTTTCAAATTAACATAATATTAGACATCGTCATGGAAATTGTTTTAATAATCATAATTAGAAGCACCCAGGCTTTGTCTGGTAAATGCTGAGAGACGGGTCTCTTCCTGCCTGGGGGTTGCCCTGGTCTCTTCCCTCCCTCTACCCCCCACTCCGACTGGGAGGGCTCCAGCTTCAAGGCCCTTTACTGTTATGTTTTCTGAAAAGTTACAGGTTCTGATTAATCTTTTTTGATGGCAAGTGGAGCAGAAAATATCCTCCCTCACCCCCCACTAAGTTTGATGGCATTTAGGGATATCATTATGAGCTGAGGCTCTACAGACAAAAAAATGCATCTAGCATACTGACTACTGAAGAAACACCGTAACTTCACCACCACCACAACCATCTCTAGTCCTCCACCACAATAAAAAGCAAGCCTTCTATATTTGAAGGCATTATTAAGGTCCAAATACAAGCTTATACAGACATTCCGTAACAGAATTAACCCAATACCCAGCCCAATCCAAACAGAGTTTCTAAAAATTTCATTAACAAGCAACACTAGTAACTCTTTGGGCATTGTTTACACTTAAAATTCAACCTGGTTGATTCTTCTGTCACAAAAAAAGCAGAAAGCCACAATAAAATCTATCCTTAGAGAATCCAAATCCATCTCTTCCTTGCCTTTCAGGCAGTTGCTGATAAAAATTTTGATATATACTCTTGAAGAAACTTTCCCCTCTTTGATGGGCCCTGGCATAGTTAACAGTGCCATATAAGTGGGAAAAGAATTCCAGGGACAGCATGGCCTTCAGAATTCATGCCAGCAGACAAGGACTCCGGCTGTCCTCTGGATCTCACCACTGACCCCCATTTCTCTCTCCTCCAATGACCAGGCCCAGCCATCATTCTTTTAACAAGTAAACTAGGGCTACTACTCCTAATTGTGTATCCCTGACAAACTTTATTTAGTTCCACCTTCTCTGAAACTCCTTTCTTTTTTTGTCACCTTTCAAGCAAAGAGTAACACAGCAGAGAGGTGAATGCTCCTTCCACAAAGCACAGCATAATAAAATGTTTGATCAAAATATTTTAATAAAGATTCTTTCTGACATAGATACACATACAAATGGTCATACATAGCTGTCATAGTCTGATTGGCCTATTTAATTTATTTATGTATATATATGTCATTTTTACACATTGGAAACCCACCAGTAGATCCATCACAGCTCCCAACTCACCATCTGACCTGACAAACTGAATTTGTATTATCTGCAAGGAGTGGAAAATAGCAGGAATCCATTTTTAAAAAAGGTTTTCTTGATTTTCGTAAGATAGAAAGGCAGGCAAACAGCCATGCAAACTAAAACTGAAAGCTCACTTTGGGTAAATAGCTTCTTTCTCTTCCTTAGTGTTATTTTATTTCTTAAAAAAAAATTTTTTTTTAGAAAAATAACAAAGGATTTCACACCATAGGCAAATCAAACCAGTCTTTAACTTAAATAATTCTCCAAAGTTAAAATAACTTATATGTACATATATATTAAAAGCAGTTAAATTAGACCTTTTAAAAATGCACAGCACAGCCTGGAAAAATATTTGCTTAGCATGTTCTGACTTAAAAGATCTATTGCTGTGATGTCTTTCCCTTTCAGAATGCAAAGGAGTCCCCTTTTTAAAAAGAGATCAATTCATTCATCAATTAAGAATACACCTTTCCTGTAATTTTTGGACTGAAGCAATTTATTAAAGCTCAATTTAAATACAGGGGTGATGCAACTGAAAATATCCAGGTGACCTTTGATAAACCTAAGCAGCTCAGGTACATCAATGTCTCTTCATATTTGTTGGCAAATAAACCTTTTAAACACTTGGCACACAGTATAAGTTGATCTAGAAAACAGAATTTAGAGGCATTAAAAAAAATTCTGCACGTAAGACTCATGACCTTAACACATGATACTGTTGATGTGTCTTTGAATAAATAACAAATAAATACCATGAATTGTTAATACATCACTGCAGAGTGGAAAGTAACAAGGTGCACATAAATATTTTTAAATGCAGTTCTTCCAGTCACAGTCAGTTTTTTATATCATTCTTGCCAAAACTTTTGAGCATTTCACAGGATTAAAGTTCAGAGACAATAAAAAATACAAGTCTTTCATAGCAACGTGTCTCCTTCTGTTTTATTTTTTTCCACTTAAAAGTCTACATTTCAAGTTTTTCTCCTGGCTCAGAATCAAAATTTATTTTCAAGTGCCCTTTCTGATTTGTCTGAATGAGTATTTCCTCCCACAAGCCTCCCAACCCAGACTCCTCCTCTCCTCCTTGGCTCTTGCCAAATTCACAAGTATTAGTAGGATTAGTATTTTGCCATTTAATACTCTTCACGCTTAATATTCAAGTGACTACTTTTCAACTTATTTTTCACCTTAGAGGAAAACTGCTTCCTCGAGGTGTAGGCTACCACCAAAGTTGCCACTTTTCTGAGAAAAAAGACACCCATACTCCATTCCCACCTTCATCTCCTTCCTTCCGCCCTCCCCACCCCTAAGACCGAAATTCTGGGGATGTCATGGCTAACAGTCCCGTTTGTCTCTGATACTTCTCCTCAGTTCTCGCCTCTGCTTTGTTTGCTTTGCAAGTGTTTCAGAACTACCAGAGGACCGAAGCGGGGGGTTAGGGGGGGCAGCTTTTCACTTTCCTCTAGCTTTGTGGTCGGTCCTGTGTTTTTTTTCCGGGGGGAGGGGTGTTTAAGGCTTCTCCGTGCACTGTTTGCAGAGGCTGGAGGAGACGCTGTTGAACAGGGCGCACTTCTCCGGGCAGGAGGCGGCCGGGGGTAGCCCGGCGCTGAATGGGTAGCCGGCAGCCTGCTCGTAGGCGCCTAGCGCTGGGTGCAGAGCAGCGGCGGCGGCGGCGGCGGCGGCGGAGCTGGGCAGCGAGGCAGCCGAGATGGCCTGGCCCTGGTTGAGGTAGGCGACAAGGCGCCTCATCTCCTCCAGGGCCTGCGCCTGCATGAGGATATAGTTCTTGGCGAGCAGCAGCGTGGCGATCTTGGAGAGCTTCCTCACCGAGGGGCTGTGCGCGTAGGGGATCACCGCGCGCAGCTCGTCCAGAGCGTCGTTCAGGTCGTGCATCCGCCGGCGCTCCCGGGCGTTGATGTTAAGCCGCAGTGCCTTTTGCTCTTTGGATTTCTTGCTGCCGCCGCCGCCACCGCTGCTGCCCCCGCCGCCGCCGCCGGGACCTCCCGGGGGCGCGCTGGAGCCGCCGTGGACGTGGGCGTTGGAGCAGCCCTCGGCCGTCTTGGCGCCGCCGCCTCCCGCGCCCGGCGAGGCTCGCGGGTCGGCACCTCCGGCCCGCAGCACCAGCTCGCAGCGGCCGTCGCTGTCGTCGTCGGGGCTCTGCTCGCCGCCGCTGCTCTCGGCCACCGAGCCTCGGCTTGCGCTCTCGCCGTATTTGAGGCACAGGGCGGCCCCAGCAGGCAGGCTGCTCAAGCTGGGGTCGCCCCCCACGCCGGCAGAGCCCACGAGCAGCCCGGGGACGCCCACCCCGCCGCCGCCTCCCCCGGGCGGCGGCAGGAGCAGCCCTGCCCCCTCGGGGTCAGCCGGCTCGAAGCAGCCCAGGGGCGACGAGGAGGACGACGCCGGGCGCTCCCGAGGCGGCGGCGCCAGGGACAGGTCCATGCCCGGGGGCGTGGAGCGGAAAGCCGCCTCCAAGCGCTTGGCGGTGGAGGCGCTCAGGCTCTTGTGCAGGAAGAGGTCGTCTTCGCCCGCGGCGGCCGCGCCGAGGTGCAGCCCGCGCTCCATGGTCCGGCGCCGGCGTGCAGCCCAGGCCCGCCGCGCCGGCCGCAGCCGCCTGGGCTCGGGAGTCAGGCGGCGCCGCAGACGCGCCCGAGCCGGGCTCCCGGGCTGGTGCGCGCGTCGGTCCCGGGGTTGCTGGCAGCCCTCTCCCCTTCTTTTTCTTTTTCGCCTTCCCCCGCGCTCGCCGCCTCCTCTTCTTCTTCTTCTTCGTCTCCAGCCGATGGTGCCGGCTGCTGGGGCTCACCATGGGCCGCGGCCCCGCATGGTGTGAGGGTGGGCGCGGAGGGAGTGGAGCCGCCGCCGCTGCCGCCGCCGCTCTGAGCCCAACCCCGCGCCGCCTCTCCGCACCGTTTATCTTGCTTGGATTCACCTTCAAGAGATTTCCGGACCCATCAACCAGCCGCCGCCACAGACGGGGGAGTCTTTTACATCATTATCTCTGAGTAGGTTATTATGAAGAAGACTCGCCTGTTGGGACAGCGCTTTCTACCCAATCAGGTTAACGTTTTAATTAATAGGATTAAAACGGTAACAAACAATCGCAGGCGCTATCTGGCCGCGAGTCTGAATAGTTTCATTTCCCAGGTCTGAAGACAGGCAGCAGCTAGAGCTTTATAAAAGGCGCCTGCTCCATTATTCTGCGTGCCATCTGTATACACAGCTTAGCGCATATGTTTGCAAGGCGCTGGGTCCTGTTAGTAACCCAACAACTGCCTTTAGCTTGACATGTGTGGCGACTTTCACTCATCAATGAGCACACTAAAAGCCCTACTTAGAGCCCAGGATGTTCTTTGCTCCTTCAGCAAATTGTGGATCAGCGGCGAAGCCTGGGAGTCCCGTGGAAAGCAGACGCCCCCCAACCACCGCACCCCACCCCCACTGCCCTTCCCTCGCCACTGCTGTCTCGTGTTGTGCTAAATTACCCTTCCGGGCGAGAATTATACTCCACCCTGTTCGTAGGATGACTCTGGTCTGGATTTGGCGATGGGACTTTGGGGGTTAGTGGAGTCCCCGCTGGCTTGTCCCAAATTCAGACACGGTTCTCAAATAATAAGAGAGCCAAGCAATCGTACCCCTTGAATACACTCTTATCTCCACTACCAACACCCCTCCCCCCTGCCCATTTCCTACCCGGATCGAAAAGAAAAAAGAAAAGGAAAATGAAGAGCACCCATTAGATTAACAAACAAAAAGCAGGAAGGGGTGCTTCGGCATTGGTCTCTGAATAACTGCTGCAGTGATGGTGATTGTGAAGCACACGATTCCCCAAACAGGAAGAAACTGATTTCTCAAACTTTCCTCAAGATTAAAATCCAGTTGTTTCAGAATAGTCAACATCACCAAGAATCAAGTGGGGGCATTTGTGCATATATATTTATCCGGAAACACAACTGTCAGCCAAGAAGCACTTCAGGGACACCTGCATCTGCCTCGGTTGTTCTTGGAGCACTAGTAAAGAGAAGTGTGAAAGCAAGTACTGCTCTCCCGATGGGGAGCAGTACACGCAGTCCTCTCGCTCAGGAGTAGGGTGTCTGCGAGACTATGGTACTTAACAGAGGCTGGGTTTCATCCTTATGACATAAGTAAAAACAATATTTCCCAACACGTCCAGTAAATCTTTCTTATGTGGCAGAATTACCGGAGCCCATGAAATTTTTGGTATCTCTGGTTTCATTAAAAACCTTTTAATTGTGGCTTTCAGAGTTGGCCCCAGGTGTTGGACTCTTTTCATTACATTTTGCTCTAATGTGATGAAATTCTAATTCTCTCCTTACCATATGGTTAAATTTCCCCACTGAGAATTAGTTGAAAAAGGAGAAATAATCTATTAATCTCTGTAATAGATTCACAAATGAGGTTCGCCACAGAACCTGTTTTTGAATGATAATATCAGAACAGTTGGGCGCCTTATTTCATAAAGGAGGGGTGAGGGCGACACTGAAGCGCCTGCATTTTCACCTGGAAAGGATGAAAAGGGGCCCAGGGGTATCGTTCCAAAATAATTGCCTGAGATTCAGTCTCACAGGGACAGAAAAAACTACAGTCTTCGGTTACCTTCGCGCCTTCAGATTTACTGGAACCCGAAGATTGAGAAACAGCAAGCGGGTTGCGGGAGGTTTTCCAGCCTGGGATCGAGGCGGGCGGTTCTGGGAGGCTTGAGCCGGCCCACGTGTCTTGCTGGGGACCCAAAGGCATGTGGTCGCGCTTGACCGCCCCTCACTCTCCTCTTCCCTCCCACCTTGCCTTTCCCTGCTCTCGCAGATGTTAATCTCTACCTTTAGGAAGCTATAAAGACGTTCCTGTTACTGTTTTTCAATTAGAAGCTTTGTTTTCACTGGATCATAAACGAAGGTTCTCTACAAACATAGGTGAGTTATGTGTGCCTCACACTAACCTACTAAAGTTCTCTGGCCACTTACCCGAGGACAGAATCTGGCACGGTGGTGGCTCTAGGCGGAGTGACGACACGTCCCCAGATGCCTGACTCGGTTTCCTGTCTAACCTGCCTTTCTAATGGGCCGGGACACCTGGATTCCTGCGGGCCTCTCAGTGGGCACTAGAAAGGCAAAGTATGGACCATGCCCGGGTCTGGTGGTAGCTTGGACTTACCTAGCCGCACCACACAGGGCCATGACCTGCAGGGCCGGAATGGCCAGGGACAGCGACAAAGGCGATGCCTGTAGCTGCTAGACGTGGGACCCTCCCAGGACCCTGGCACCAGAGAGCGAGTCGTGGCTTTCCCGGACTCCACCTCCACTCCGTCCTTCCATCCCCACCCCCTACTCCCTGACCATCCAAACTTCCGGAACAAACTTTAATGCAACTTTATTTAACGCAGCAGGCGCCCCAAACCTCTTTGGTGTTTAAGGAAAATCTCCCCGGTCTCCCCGGAGGAGGTGGCTGCTTTAATAGTCACTGGAAACTTAGCTTTGGGAAACTGCTGGAGAATTTATAGAAGCTCTAAATGCGGGCCTTGTAACAACCGTCGGGGAATGGTCTTTGAGGTTTATGCACTCGTAAACTTTTGCTGATTGCTTCTGGGAAGTTGTCAGACACTTAAAACTGCATTTATCTTACAAGGCAATGAAAACACATCTGCCTGGTGTCTCGTTACCTGGTTTAATCGTCGCCCACCCTAAGTCACGGCCTAGGCACTCACTCTTCACTTGAGTGGGATCCAGCCGCTGGTTTCAGCCGACGAAGGACTGATGTCAGCTGCTCACTTAGTGCCCTCTGGCCGCAGGAGCTCAGGAGAACTGTGCTCTTGAACTTTGTTCTGCCAAGAAGCGGGGAAAGAGCTCGGGCTACTGATGTAACAAGCAAGTTGGAAAGGTAGCTGAGGAAAAACAAATTAAAAACCTTCTGAACGCCCTGGAAGAAAGGGTTGGGGAGTTAGCCTGCCGCGAAAACTCCTGACCCATCGGGAAAACTGACCCACCGATGACCCTAAGAAGGAAGAGTCGGAAGCTAAATCCTCGGACTCTGTGCAATTTCAGAGGAGGTCATTGTGAGTTACCGAAGCAACTGGGGGACAGGAAACGCAGGGGACTGTCTCCTATGCCCGCAGCAGGGCGGGACCATCTCAGGCCACTCCGTGGCCAGAGCAGGAGAGTGGGCACAGTTCAGCGACACCCGGCAGGGCGCCCTTCGTGCTGGGCCGGTTGGTGAGAGGAGCCGGTTGGCTGACACACGTCAGGACAAGGGAGCATTTTCTGCCGAGTGTTGGATACCAAATTTACAAGCGTCAGAGCATGTAGTGCAAAGACGAATACAGTTTTGTTACGGCAGGAGGGACCATACCTACGGCTTTGAAGGGATTCTAAAATATTCAATGAGCAGCACCGCATTGAAATTTGAGCCTTGCACTTCGGCCAAATTAATGTTTTAGGTCAGACTTAAATTTCTTGGTGATCATCTTTATTAACATTTGCTTTAAATTTGAAATAGGAGCCTAATGAAATCAGAACGGAGCATAATCTAATCTACTTTTGAAGAGCAAACTCATGAGTCCCTCTTTGGTATTTCTATAGCCCTGATAGTTTATTACTTACCTAGATTAAAAAGTTAGGAGAACCCCTGAACACTGGGATATGGGTATCTGTGTATGTTTTCTGAAAGAGAAATGTCCGCGTGCGCCTGTGTGTTTCAATTAATCTATTTGAGAATATCCTTAAAAAGTAAAAGCAAAGTTTGCCAAAAATGACAGGCACTTTTCGCTTAGGAGTTGCTCTGGAAAAGCTAATTCCTTGACAGTGAGGGGAATCCTCTGCGGACTACGCTTTCCTCATCTCGGAGTACAACCCGGACCGCAGACAACCCTGCGGGACTCCCTCCGGAGACACCGCGCCCTCCGCGGCCGAGTCCTACGCCCCTAAGCGCGACCCGGGCAACCTTGACCAATCTTCAGCCCCAGAGGCACGCTGACATTGAAGCTGCATTTGCCTACCCCGACCCTGCGCATTCTGGAGGCACTTGGGTCGTCTTTAAACCTGCAGAGCTGAGGTTCATTATCCTGAACCTCCGCCGGGTTTGGAAACGCAGGATCCACTCGGTAGCAGAGAGATTCAAGACCATCAAGTTTCTGAAGTCAAGCCTTTTCGGTGTTGTATTGTCGTCGGTATTTTCTCACCCTCTTCTCCAGGTCCTATGAAGTTCACTGCAGGAAGATACTATGGGCCCACGTGTGTTTTGGGGAATGGCGGAGAAGGGTGGATTGCTAATCGGGACGGCAGCCTGGGTGCTGGGGTCCTGGCAGTTGACACATCCCTGGCAGTGAGCCAGGGGCTCCAGTTTGGAATTGCTCCGAAGTGTTCTGCAATTCCAAGGACTTTGACCTTAGAAAAGTTGAAACCTGTTGATCTGAAGTTCCTTCGGGAAAACTGTCCTTTTCTTTATCTCTTAAAGATGTTGATCCTCACGGCTGCTTGAATTTAGCCTCAATTGAGCAGACATGAAAGTTAACCTAAGTTTGAACAGACGTTGAAGAGAAAACCTCAGTCCTTACAAAAAGAAGCTTTTTCAGCCCGGCTGTGCGCCCCACTCCGGCGCCAAGGTGGATCCCCCGGTCTGCGGCCAGGGGTTCACCTGGCTCCGGCAGGGTCTTTCCGAGTATGGG